TAACTGTATTGTGATATTAATATATATATATATATTTATATCAAAATACACATAGAACGAAATAATATATATATCTATATACATAAATATATACGTATATATCACCAAATATATACACCTATATATAAATAAAAATATTTAAAAAAATTATATATATATGTATATATACACATATGTATATATATACATATATTAATTCTACACATATATTTATGTAATATTTTTACATAATTAGGTATCCTAATTAATTACAATTAGCAGGACCTGCCTGACAACCCATGCCAAAAGTATAGGGAATTTAATTTGCTAGCACTATATTTAACACCATAACTTTCCAAGACACCATAAAACCTGTAAATTGGGGTTACTGTTTTACTCGGGAGACTTCGCTGAACACAAATATTAGTGTTTAAAAACAGTAAAATGTATTACAACAATGATATCGCCAGTAAAAGTGAAGTTTTTTGCATTTTTCACGCACAAACAGCACTTACACGGATGATATTATTGCTGTAATACTTTTTACTGTTTTGAAACACAAATATTTGTGTTCAGCGAAGTCTCCCGAGTACAACAGTACCCCTCATGTACAGGTTTTATGGTGTTTCCAAAAGTTACAGCGTCAAATATAAGGCATGTGTTTCATTTTTTTCACATTAAAATTCGTCAGATTGGTTACGTTGCCTTTGAGACCCTATGGTAGCCCAAGAATGAAAATTACCCCTATGATGGCATACCTTTTGCAATAGTAGACAACCTAAGGTATTGCAAACAGGGTATGTCCAGTCTTTTTTAGTAGCCACTTAGTCACAAACACTGGCCAAAATTGGCATTTTTTTGCATTTTTCACACAAACAGATACTAACGCTAACTTTGGCCAGTGTTTGTGACCAAATGGCTACTAAAAAAGACTGGACATATCCCATTTGCAATACCTTGGGTTGTCTACTATTGCAAATGGTATGCCATTATGGGTGTAAATTTCATTCCTGGACTACTATACAGTCTCAAAGGCAACGTAACCAATCTGTCGAATTTCAATTTCAAATGTAACGTGCTATATTTGACCCTGTAACTTCCCAAAACGCCATAAAACCTGTACATAGGGGGTACTGTCTTACACGTGAGACTTTACTGAATACAAATATGTGTATTTTATTGCAGTAAAAGTAAACAGTATTATGACATTGACCGTTAAAATGTCATGTAGAACTAAAAAAATCGTATTTTCTCCCATTTTTTCATATTAAATTATGTTTCATAGCTAAATATTTGATATTAAATGAAAGCCCTGTTTCCCCTGAATAAAATGATATATAATAAGGGTGGGTGCATTTACTATGAAAGAGGTGTATTACGGTTGGACAGACATGTAGCGCAAATGCCAGGTTTTGTTTACATTTTGTTTCGTTCACACTGTGTACATTTGGCTCCGTCCTTAAGGGGTTAATTTATGAATTGTTCGTAAAACAATTTTGTGTTGTGTTTTTAGGTGTGTCACACAGTGAACTGCTTCATTTAGCAAAGTACCACTTTGGTAACTTGCCTTCTACATACAAAGGAGAGATCCTCCCCCCATGCTCTTTCACAGGTAGCGAGGTAAGAACAGCATACATGTTTTCTTTTTTTTCTTTTAAAAGAAGAGGAGGATCAGGAGTATGGAGAAAAAATTGTCACCATGAAAGTACTAGAAATGAATGTGATTTGCAGCATGCGATATTTCTGACATAATCATGTTTGTATGTCTTATGCTGTGAAGTAGAAATACGCTATGATTTATAGAACTCCTTAAATGTAGTGCAATGTGTGGTTCAAGCTGGTCTGTTTCCTTCTAGATCCGTGTTCGGGATGATAAAATGCCATTGGCACACATTGCCATTTCTGTGGAAGCAGTTGGCTGGTCTCATCCAGACACTTTACCTCTTATGGTGGCCAATACACTCATTGGAAACTGGGATCGGTCCTTCGGTGGTGGCGTGGTATGGGAATATTCATGTGTCAGCAGAGTTTTTAGATAACTAGGTTTACCTTGTGCTTTTATGTCTAAAATTTATATCTCGTAACTAAAATACATATAGTTTAACCATTAAAAAACAAAAATGTATTCGTTTTTTTTTTCCATGGTTGCTTAATTTCTTTTAAGCAACTTTTGGTACTTTTGTGACTCAAACCTACTAAATTCTAATATTTAATTTTGGATAATTATGTTGTTGTAGAATCTTTCGCCATTTAAAAATAAAATAAAAATAGTAAAACAACATTTTTAACATTAACAAAGTAGTTTACTATGCTAAAAAAGCAAAATGGAAACCACGGTCAAAACTTTAAAATAATGGTTTTATATATATAATACTCTCTCTCCCCACTACCTTCCCCTAAGTAAAGTATAGCCTGAACTTTAGTAAAATATTGTATTTAGGTCAAATAGCAATTAGATCAATATAACCTATTTTCTTCTTTTAATTGTTATAATTGTATTTTTATTTTCTATCAATGCCATCCATTAGTAATACTTTGGTATTTGGTTTTAAAGAAAATAACCTATATTTATAACCTGGGTAAAGTCATGCGCATGTATAGATTTCTTATGGATATTGTTCTTTATTATCCAGAATTTATCCAGCAAGTTGGCCCAGGTCAGCTGCCATGGCAACTTGTGTCACAGCTTCCAGTCATTCAACACCTGTTATACAGACACTGGGCTTTGGGGATTGTACATGGTGTGTGAGCCCAACACCGTGGCAGATATGATGCATTTTGTTCAGAGAGAATGGTAAGCTATATTTGCTATGGCCTGATTCAGCAGCGGTTTTATACAGTATGCTTATGTAGGTTCATGCTAAATAACCTTGACTTAAGAGTATTTGTAAATTTGGGAGAATTCTTTGTTTTCTTGTATACACACACTATTTTAACTGGTGTATAAGATGGCAAAACCACAAAAGACAAATATTCTTTTCCATTTTATAATTTTTTAAAATACGAATATCAAAGAGCTGCTATATTTTATTTATTTCTATATTCTCACCTCCTATAGTTTTAATATAATATTCCTGCATATGTTTAGTAAAGAGACTAAGTGATTTGGGAAATGAGTTTATCCCCACAATAAACCCTTCTTATGGAGTGTTTGTTTTTCTGAGCGCTACTCTTACATGTATAAAGATTAGATATGCAAAAAGAAAACATTATAGTGTGATATCCTTTTTTTTAAGCTCCTGCAAAATTGTAAATAAATACTTACCCATTGTATTCTTGAGGGCCTTAAAGGGACACTGCAGATCCGTAAAGCAGTGTGTCAGATTACAGATTTTAATAGAAGTTGTCAATTTTACAAATTAACCTGTCTACACCTCCTAGCTGTTAATCACCAATCCTGGTTGTACCAGGGTGGTTTGGCTCTGCCCCTTCCTACCTCCTTGGCTGAGGTCAACCAAGGAGGCGGGTCAGAGCCAGCGCTGGATACAAGGTGGGTGAGTTTTCTAGATATATTAAGGGGGGAGGGGATGTTGGGATGTTAACACTATAGGGTCGGGAATATGTTTGTGTTCCTGACCCTATAGTGCACCTTTCAATGCATGCATGTTTTCATTGAGGGTTTATCTACTAAATAGTAAGTTTGAACAGTAGTGTGTTCCTTTAAATGAAATTAAACCATGCAAGATCACTTGTGTGAATTTTCTTCCGAGTCCCTTCTTTATAGTTTCCTACAACCTGACTTTATTGTTTAGCATTCTTTACTTTCTTAGATATTGAGTTATTCGCATGCAGAGGGGGTGGCCGATGACTGTATAGTAAAATCTGCATCTTTAAATGTTTTGAATTGTCAGGATAAGACTCTGTACAAGTGTTACTGAGAATGAAGTTGCACGAGCCAAGAATCTGCTCAAGACAAACATGTTGCTCCAGCTGGATGGTAAGCTTTAATAATGTGTTACTAAATTACTTATATACATATTTAACGTTTGCTAAATAATGCTTTAATGTTACAGGATCCACACCAATTTGTGAGGATATTGGGAGGCAGATGTTGTGTTATAATCGTAGAATTCCCCTGCCTGAACTGGAAGCAAGAATCGATGTGAGTGTTCCTTGCCTCATGTTTATTAAATTTATATTTAATATCCATTAGTGCATTTTACAAAGTTGCCCACAGGATGAACTTTATTCCGATCTATAATTTTTGCTTCCAATGCGTGCTGTACCATCTGTTTTGAAATATTAATATACTGCAAGAGAACCATTCTAAACATATCTTGCTTGTCAAAAGCATTACTTCAAATGGGCAGTCAGGATTTTATGCATTCCTGCGTTTTTCTAATGAACAAATATATTCAATTACATATGTCATCGTACTGTTACTAGTGGGGGTTTTTGCATTTTTTTTTTGTAATATTCATACATACCTAAGGCTCTCCCCTCCTTAGTGCCGTTTCAGTCTACCAGAAAAGCCACATCTTTTATATAGAAATGCACAGGACAAAAATAAAGTCTACTGGAAAAGTAGAACACTGTAAGACAGCACAAGCTTGTTTAAATTTTAGCTTTTGCCTTGTAAATGAATGGACGTCTTACATGTATATGTCCTGTTTGTCAAAAAATTCCAATGTAGTCGGAGTTACAAAAATACCTTGAAAAACTCAATTGACAATGCTGGGTTCATATTTTTAGGTTTGATTGCCAAATTGCTTACGTGATATGTTTATTTCCCTAGCTCATTGATGCCCAGACAATAAGAGATGTCTGTACCAAGTACATTTATGATAAGTGCCCTGCGATTGCAGCTGTTGGTAAGTTTTCTGACCTTGCATATATGTATTGATTGATATGGGCTGGTGGAATAAGTTCTGTTAATAACTTAAATGTTCTAGATTTAGATTAGTTTCTGCTTTTACAAAACCATGAGGCCAAGACCTTTGGTCTCTCAGGTATTTTTTGTGGCCACTCCAATTCTAACTATACTTGTGAGGCACACCATGCTGTAATGTATTTAATAGATATGCTACAGGAAGGAGATAAATCAGGGCAGTGTGTTTGGAATTCCTCTATACTACAGGAAGCCATGACAAACCTAAAAACCTCATCTCCCGGACACACATTCTAATTCTCAGAAATCGAGTAACAAACATCACTGAAATAGTTTTATTGTTCCAATGTTTCATGGAATATCTTCATTATTTGAAAGCACACATCGCTATATTTTTCACTGCTGCATCAGTGAGAAATGTATCCTGTATTTTTTTAATTAAGCTAGCTCCAGGTTCCTAGCACTTTGGGTGTATGTCTTTAGCAATGTACCTTGCTATACTACAAGCTTTTGTAATGTTGCCTTTCTATTTTGTTCCAGGTCCTATTGGACAGCTCCCTGATTATGACAGAATACGAAGTGGGATGTACTGGCTGAGGCGATAAAGGACCTGGGTCCATCATGAGCTGATAATAGCGAATCTTCTGTACATATGCCAAACAATTGTTAATATAATTTATCCAGTCAAATACTGATTAACTTTTCTTTTTTTATTATAAAATATAACACACACACAGTTCCAAAAGTCTCATTTCTTGGTTTTTGCATTTACAACATGTTCTTGTGCAGCTTTCTTGGCTTTCACCATTTCGACCAGTTCCTATGAAAAGAAAACCAAAACAATAAGAACTCAAAACTGCTCCATTTTTTTTTTTTTATTATAATAAAAGATTTAACAGCATTTTGCCATTTCATTCTGCTTTCGTTACATGTTGATTAAATGGTGAAAGGGGTAATTATATTGAAAATTTGGGCAGCAACATACATGTAGTGAGTGACTGGATCTTTATTAAAGGCATAAGACAGTGAAAATGGTCCGGCTAATCTTGGAATTTTGTCAGGTGGAGCATCTACGCGCTTTGTCTCTATTCAGAGACTTTATCAAGACCTTACATACTGTCTTATTCAACGTCTCAGAGGTGGCAAGAACAGCATCAGAAAATCAACGCTGCTTTTCCTCCATCTCTGTGCCCCTTGCTCACACGTACTTTTAGGAGATTTCATTATAGGAGACATTCAATTTTTTCTTTCTTACTGCACTAGCACTGTTTATTTTTATATCTCTGTATACTTATTTAGCTGCATTTATTTACACACTTTTTATTCTCTCTATGATCCTGTTTGTTTATGCAGTATTCACTCCACCATTTTCAGATCTAGGAGTGATAAACCCTCCCACTCTAGGCTGCCACATGCTGCAGCTTTACAAGTTATACTGTACCTAGCCTATTTAGATACTTGTGGTAAGAATCACTTTGTGATAGCTGGTTAGTTTCTGAACTGGTTACTATGATCTTTTAGTTCAGAGATAGATCTATTCTTAATAAATGTGTTTACCTTTTGCACATTTTGGTCTGGCAGGTTTTTTACCTTACGTTTTTTGGTTTCCATTCTTTGAAGCGCAAATACATATTTTAGTAGTAGATTAAATGGTGCAACACTGAGGTAGATCTATTAAAGTTTAGACACTATAGTTATGTAACTTCTGCAAATTGAATTTGTATCTAAATGTATTTATTCATACAGGAGAATCACTATAAATATATCCTTACCTTGTATCGCTTCATGCAGTCCTTCTTGGACCTGCCAGGGACAGCAGATGCTATTTTTTCCCATCTCTCTGTGGTATTCACAGGATAGGTCTTTAAAGCTTGCTCTAGAAGTTTTTGTTCTTCAGTGGTCCAGGGTGTAGAGTCTGAACCTGTGCCTTGGAAATAAGTATCACAGCGTAAACATACAGATGTTGCAATTGTGTGGCTTATTCACTAAAGGCTGAATTGCTCAGGTCTGGATTATGAAAAATAACAAACACCTAAATTCCTGTTGGTACCATGGAGCCCCAGGGTCCCCTCTGTCTGACAGCTGAACTGTATGCAGCCCCTTAAGGCGAGCACTGCAAATAACCCTTTAAATCACTGCGGCTAAGAATTGAATTTCAGTTAATGCAATATTACTGTATTTTCAAGGAGAATGAGATTGCATTTTGGAGATGCAGCTGTCCACAAAAGTGCTGTAATGTAGCCATTTATTTTTGCCTATGACTGTAGCATTTGTAAAAGTTCATAAAAAAAATATATAATCTAAACCCAGTTTAAATTTGCCCACATTACCTTTTAAGATCTCTCCCCCACCCTCCCATCACTTCCCAGTAGCAAATATTATGAAAGTAATTACATTAAGATTACAGAACTCATAACAGGTAGGGCACAGGCTCACTCCCTCACCGGGATTTGCACACAGTTACTTAGGTCCTGGTACAGGATATACCCAAAACACCTATATCTTTCAAACAGTTGCCCAGACATGTACCTGTTTCTGCGTTTATACCTGGTATGGGCTCTCCACCCACAATAAAGCCTTGGCTGCTAGAACCTAACCAAACTACCCGGTTACCCTAACACCCTGCCTTAACCCACTGATTCTACAACTATGTAATTGTACCACATGTCCTACAAACTTTGTGAATTTGTAACTTAAATGATACGGTCTGTCGTTGCTTATACATAAATTGAAACTCTAAAGAATTTAAGTAACATGGAGGGGTGAATAACCCGGTGAGTGAAGCCTACCCAACTAAACGTGTGCAAAACTGGGAACGGACTTGACCACTTACCGTCAAATCTCTCTGAAGGCACAGCATTATCCACAGATTGAGGAACAACTTTATGCTCCTTTTTGAATTTATCAAATGCTTTCTTATTTATGTCATCCTTTTGCTGGGGATCTGGAAAAAAAGAGACGTGCATTTGTTCTTAAAACTACACTGAAATAAGTGATACTTCACATATTTGCACAGAAATCTTCTCTTTGGATATAGGCTTACCTAGTTTTTGAAGGGATTTTGCTTTATTGATGACATCCTTTGCATTCCTTTTAATCCCAGAAACTGAATGCAAATTCATGTAATTAGCAATCACTTCCCATCTGGAGAAACAGACAGAGGAAATAACAGAAAAATTAGACATAGGTCAGGTAAAAAGCTCAGGACATTTCTAACAATGAATCCCAATATGTAGTGTTTGCTTTTTTGCTCCAATAACACTGCTGTGTCATTACATGTAGTTAAAGTGTTTATCCAATCAGACCCCAGATTTGTTAAACCCCTTAAGGACCAAACTTCTGGAATAAAAGGGAATCATGACATGTCACACATGTCATGTGTCCTTAAGGGGTTAATGCATTATATAGATAATGCACTAAATAATACAAACTAATGTAAATAAAAATGCACACATGGAAATTGTTGCTAAACACACTGCTTGGTGGGTGGGTAGGCAGACACCCTTCCACACCAGGATGAGATGCTCCAATCAGTTTTATGGAGGCTGATCTTATTCCATAACCTCTGTGTATCAAGAGAAAATAGAATACTGTGGCTGCTATCATTTTCTCTGTTTATTAAACCCTCTGCAAAAGATGCACAGTCTGGGTATTTGCAGCAAATTGATATTTTATTGTGCTGTTTTTGCATGTATTTGAATGCATTAAGAAACAATGGTTCACTTCTGGAAGAGATCATTAGTGAGCCAACATGTAACTATAAGCACCCGATAAGAATATATCAGGTGCTATAGTAACTGCATAAAAATATATCACAAGCAGTCATCGATGTACTGGACATCCTGATTTTCCACTATACCTTGCATTAGTTCCAGCAGGAAATAGGTTCACAGCTTTTATCAATAACTGTAAGTCATCTTCTGACCAAGACTTGCCGCTGCCTCCACTTCCTCCTGTAGCAGACTGATCTGAACCTTTTGTAGATTGTCTCATACGAGCCTCTTCCTGTTCTTTTTCTTTTTTAAGTTGGGCATTTACATCAACAACCTAAAAGAGGAAAAAAAAAAAATCAAAGATTATCATGGAGTAAATGCTGTTGTAATCCCAGAAAAAAAAATGGGAAAGATGTTGCCATTATCTCACTTTGTTGGCCAAACCCCAATAAGACTATATAAATTCTCACAATTGACTGCACATGCAGTCAAATATAATGCAAACGTGGAGTAGGGAAATCACAGACAGAGGGAGAGCAATTGTATACAAAATAATGTCTACTCCTTAAATAGTAATAAAAAACATTTTAGATGTCAAATCAGTGCCTTAATAAAGATAATGGCAAAAATGGTTGCTTTCAGTAAGGTGATGTAAAGTATTTTTGCACTGTATTTGAGTTATCTGCATAAATAGCACTTGTGCCTTCAAACAAAAGACCCATAAAACGATGTATTGGGCATTGTAAAGAATCCCATTACTCTCCTTCCCAATAATGTAAAGGATTACTCCAAGCATCTATCACATAGTGATATCTGTAGACTGGGTTGGTGTGGAGGTATTCAGAGGGCCACATGCAAAAATGGTTTGACTACTTAATACAGGGTCTGCGTCACAGCATGCCTGGCAGCAAAAAACACTACAGCAGTCTGTAGTGGTTATGGTGCTTAGACTTCCTCTATAACTCCTAACTCCATATAGTCCCAGTCTTTGCCATTCTCTGACATCAGCATCAAGCCATGACTTAGGCACAGACAAAGTTACCTACGGGTTTGAATTTCAAACCAAGCATCAAAGTGTGTATATTGAAACATATGAGTGTGAGCACAGTTAGAATTCTGTAAAATTAAAACTGGTTGTCCAAAGCAGTGATTTATGAAAGCACTGCACAGATTAAGACATTTTGGACAATGATCCTTTAAGCCTCGCCAACCACTGGAAGTAGGGATAATACACAGAACAACTCCGCATTAGCCAAGTCAATTCATACCAGTGATGGGCAACTGCGATAGGCTGAGAGCACCCAGCCGACACGCTGAGGCTCTTACTGCTGCCTATTTCTGGTAGGATAATGTAGAAGTATCAAGCAGTAGGGAAGGGCAGATGTTTGGGGACATTCATTCATTGTTCAACTGTTCAAGAATTGTTTAAGTCTTAACAGAGGTATGATGCCACGGGACTAAGGCATAATGACCACTTCAGTTAAGTAAAGTGGCTATGGTGCTTAGAAATTCACTTAAAACAAGTAGAATATATAACTCTGCAAGTACCTGTTTTTCTACAACAACTTTCCCTTCTTCTTTTGAGCTTGCTGAAAGTGCCTCATTCAGGGACTGTAAACTAAAAGTGAAAATAGAAAGAGGAAAATCAAATGGAGAAAAAAAAAAAGAATTCATAAAAAGAATGAAAAAAAAATATAAAATAAAAATATGAGACCAGCAAATATTCTCTTCCAAACTGATTATAATTTTATAGTCAAAATGCTACAATTAAAATCAAATTAACCAGGAGGGGATCCCAAATAAGGTCTCTCACCCTCGAACATCATGGCTTGCTGCAGTCAATCTTTGAAACACAGCTAAATCAGCGGTCAGTAAGAAGTACACAGAACAATATCTGCTAATTTAGGAGTCTAGCTTTTGAGCAATAAAGGAAAATAAAATGAAAAAAATAATCTATTTCATTTTTGCCACACCAAAAAGAGTTTTTAATAAACATTGAATAATTCTGGGTCTTTGTTTAAATCTAATAGCTTTGAAGTGTTATGCACACTATTAAAAATACTCCTTTCTACATGCAGAATATATTTTGATCAAGTATATATATTCCTCTTTACACAATTAGTTTCAAGGCTAATTTATAAAGTCTGCCTTTTAGTTGCTCCTTCTATGTAATCTCAACTTCATAAATGAACACTTTCAAAGAAAAGTCAAACATCAGGAATCCTAAAGTAATGCCTATTATGCAGATCTAGTAATTTAAAGGTGTTATGTATAAAAAAAATTGTGGTAGAATAATAAAGCTCATAGATAAAAGGGTTGGTAGCAGAAATAAGAACCTGTACCAAAAATCCAATCATCTAATTAATTGTATAGGAATGCTGGTGCCCAGTGATGTATAAAATAGTAATTCTTTAGATTATTTTTATTGTACTCAAATTGTGCGGAACCAGAGTTTGAAATGTAGATCTATAAAACCAAATTAGAAAGCATCATATAATTATAAACCTGTAACACATTTTACAGGGAGCAATGGATTACCTGGCAAGTTCAAGGCGGTCACACAATTTTTCAATTTCTTCCATCATTTTCACACTTTCTGCTTCGTTATCCGAAAAGTAATTCCAATTCTGCATGTTAATAAAAATTAGAATTATGTAACAAGAGAACAAAGCAATGCACCTACTCTAAACCACAATTTGACAATCCTTGTTAATTTGTAATATATATAAAAAAAAAAAAAAGTGGCCATTGGATAGTAACATTTTATTGTGTGTATATAAATGCACAGATTATAAAGAGCATAAAAAAAGTACATAAGTAGAGTTTACTTGCAGTGATTTGCATTTTTGGTAAAAAAAATTACTTTTTTTTTCTTTAACGCACAGATGGGGGTTGTAAAATCACTCAAAGTTGAATTAGTAAATTTTACTAGGCTCTTATACTTAGGAGCCTACCTCTAATCAGGGCTAAATAAATTGTACCCAGCAAGCCAAATCTTTTATAATTGATGTAATAATCAAAAGGAACAAATAACAGTCATTCACAGAAGCACTATACTATGTTACTAACTTTGCAAGAGGTCCGCAGTCTCTGCCGTTCTTTCTTTATTGCCTTCTTCTGAATTTCTTTTTCCTTCTTTGCTAGTTGTGCTTGTTGCCGTGCCTCCTCATCTTCCTTCTCCTTTGCGAGTCGAACAGCTTCCAGTTCCGCTTGTCTTTGCTAAAATATGCAGATTTGTCAATTCATCACTTTTTTAACCAAATGCCTGCTTACATACTGATCATAAATTTAGAATGGATAATAATTCATAATAAAAAATGAATGTTATACTGCCAAGCTAGCATTTCTACACAAAGCAGAGATTTACCAAGGTACAAAAAAAAAAAAAAAAAAAAAGAAGGTCACGACTTGTTAAAGCAGCTCTATTAAAGCCAACGCCTTCATTTAAAATTTGTCTGTAGAGTTAGAGGAAAAAAAAATTTAAAAATTTAAATTTGTATTTTTGTTGAAAGAAAATTTATAGTGTTAGACATACAAAACGTTTTTTTAAACACTACAGTGCCCTCTTGCTCCCATTTCCCCCACCCACTTTTCTAGACACTAGATGTCCTCATGCCGAGTTTGCGAATGTCCAGCGTCCTTTCAAAACAGTCAAACTCTGTGAAACTATAGAAGGAGCCTCTAGAGGAAGTCTTAACACTGTTTCACATTACAGATTTTAATGGAACAGGAACACTGCACCCAGATGTGATGAAGTGCTTTGGGTGCCTATAGATGAGTAAGATTAAACATTTACAAATACCTAATTTGAAAGAGTTCTCCAATTCCACATTTTCCAAAACTTTGGACAAAATATTTGCTCCAATTATTTTTCATTTGACCATTAAATATATTTTGACCATTAAATAAACATTATAAATATACAAATATTTTGAAATACTCTGCACATATATTTAGTCAAATACAAATAGGTAAACATATACCCTTTCTTTTTCTTCCTGCTCTTTCCGTCTGGCATCAACCTTGGCTTTCTTTTCTGCTTCTTTCCTGGCTTTTTCTTCCTCTTTGAACTTCTTTATTCTAGGGTCGCTGCTATACGCATTGTCTAGGATAAGAATTAGGACATTTTGACTTTATGTATCAGTTAAAACTGTTTATGTTCAGTAATTTTCTCTTTGAAATATACCTAGTGTTCAAGTACAATCACCTGACAGATTCATGACAAAATTTGTATTTATCAAGAAAATAACATTGCAATAGAAATTCTAATTGTTTTGTTTAACCCCTTAAGGACTGGACTGTTTTTGCGATGTTGTACATTTGCGACCAGGCATATTTTTACACTTTTGTGGTGTTTGTGTTTAGCTGTAATTTTCCGCTCTCACATTTACTGTTCCTATACAAATTATATATTGTTTTTTTCAAGACAAAATGGGCTTTCTTTACATACCATTATTTATATAACCTCATGTATTTTAATTTAAAAAATAAAAAAATATGATGAAAAATTGGAAAAAAAATACATGTTTTTTGACTTTTACTTGAAAAATCTTTTACTCATCTATAAAAGCAAATGGAAAAAACTGCTAAATAGATTCAAAAATTTTGTCCTGAGTTTAAAAATACCCAGTGTTTTTTTGCATGTTATAGGCACAAGTAGATATTGCGGTTTCAAAACATACATTTTTTAAATTTATCAATAGTGACATTGTAACACTATTATCTGTCATAAATCTCTGAATAACACCCCACATGTACATATTTTTTTTAAAGTAGACAACCCAGGGTATTCAATATGGGGTATGTTCAGTCTTTTTTAGTAGCCACTTAGTCGAAAACACTGGCCAAAGTAAGCATTCATATTTGTTTGTGGGGTGAAAAAAGTAAAAAAACTAAATTGAACGCTAATTTTGGCCAGTGTTTGTGACTAAGTGGTTACTAAAAAAGACTGGATATACCCCATTTGGAATACCTTGGGTTGTCTTCTTTGCAAATGGTATGCCATCATTGGGGTAATTCTCATTCCTGGGCTACCATACGCTCTCAAAGGCAACATAACCAACCTGGCCATTTTCAATGTAAAAATATTTGACCCATATATTTGACCCTGTAACTTTCAAAAATGCTATAAAACTGTACATGGGGGGTACTTTTATACTTGGGAGACTTTGCTGAACACATATTAGTGTTTCAAAACAGGAAAGCATATCACAACAATTATATCATCAGTAAAAGTGCTGTTTGTGTGTGAAAAATGCAAAAAAAAAAAAAAAGTCACTTTCACTGACAATATCATCGCTGTGATATGTTTTACTGTTTCCAATCACTAATATTTGTGTTCAGCGAAGTCTCCTGAGTAAAACAGTACCCCCCATGTACAGGTTTTATGGTGTCGTAGAACGTTACAGGGTAAAATACAGTGCTAGCAAATTAAATTCTCTGGAGTTTCGGCCTGGGTTGGCAGGCAGGTCCCTTAAATTGCAATCAATAAAATTACTTAATTATGTAAAAATATTACATAAATATGCACGTAGAATTTAAATATATATGCATATTTATATATTTGAAGTCTACGTGTATATTTATATAATTATTTATGTAATTATGGACATATGTATATTTCGTATTATTTTTATTTATATATACAAATTCATTTTAAGTGTATTTTGATATAAATATATATTAATTTTAAAATACAGTTAGAATAAAATTTCATAGATATATTAAAAATTTTTTTTACTTATTATTTATATTTTATAATAATTATATATATATATATATATATACATACACACATACACACACACACGTGTAATTTAATTATAAGTGTATTTTTATATTAATATAAGTACATATTAATATAAAAATACACTTAGTATGACATTTTATATATGATATATAGACATATTATATAGAGATTATTTTTTATTAACACTAACTATTTTTTTTTTTTACACTAGCAGGGAGACTGCCTGTCAGCACAGACAGTCCCCCTGCAGGCAGACACATGGACACCTATTGTGACCATGTGATCGCTGTGTTAAGCGATCACATGGCCACAAGGGTCCTAATCCAGTGTGGGGAGACTGTCTGGGCTGCAGGCAGTCTCCTCACACCGGGAGCAATGGCGATCAGGTAAGTAACTAGGACCGTTAGAACGGTTCAGGACCGTCACCGGTCGGCAATAGGAAAATGCAGATGACGGTCCTGAACCGTCCTCAGTCCTTAAGGGGTTAAGCTTCTTTATTTGGTGTCATCACATTTCACTCAATTTCAAGCTTTGTTACTATCCACAATTTATTATTTATTTATTTTTTAAACACTGATAAAAAAAAAAAAATTACTAAAAGCTTTATTTTTGCTATATATTACTTTGTGCATCTGTGTATATTATTTTTATGCTTATCAGTATGCATTTCCTGTGCTACTATACTTTATCTTGGTTGGTATATAGGAGTCACAATACCAGTGACTGATTGCTAAACACATAGGAAAAAATCAATCATACATACCAACTAATGTTCTTATTCTGTTCATTTCTTCTTTTTTCCTTTGTGCTCTGGCAGCCCTGTTCTGCTTCTCAATCCACCTCCTCTCGTCACGACTGTAAAAGGATTAAAACAAAATGAAACAACATATGATTGTGTGGTGTATGCTTCATAATTAGCAATACGATGTACGTAGTGGATGTATGGAATGGTTACCCAGTACAGTTGGCCATATTAGACTTATGAGGTTAACTGTGTCTGGGAAACAAAGGGATAAATGTTGTTGGTGTTAGTACAGCAATTAAGACATGTTTTATATCCCTGTTCGAGTGTAGAGGCATATACAACTGGCCAGTGGTTTTGAGGTCTACTGAACTTGCTTAATAGGGCCTTAGAACCTGAGAAGAGCAGGAAAAGTGTATAAATGATCTGATGAAACCTAAAAACTTAATCCACTTTAGAGCTAAATCAGACTTGAAGTGGATTATCATTACCAAAAGCTATCCTGGGACCGAAAGACTGGTATGTTGCTAGTACAGCAAATATTAAGGGTTACTATTCATTTTATCCATTTAAATTGTATCTTTTTGTTGTTGTATGTAAAATTTTGTTTGTAATCTATTTTAGATGTATGCACTGTGACTTTTTGTTCATAAAAAACGTGCTTTTATCCAGTATAAGAATCACGTTACTGAAAAGATATTTTTTGCTAAACCATGTTCTGTGTAGTTTTTAAATCTAATTTTGTTAGGGTAACTTAGGATGTACCAGTTTTCAGTTTCTAAAGTGTCTTGGTTATGGCAACTTTTGTAGGCATGTGTTGTGAGAAGAGGGATTTTTTTTTTTTATCATGAATGTGGGTCGACTGTAGAAAAACTATGATTCGACAGTTCGAATGGTTGTCGTTCGTCTGTTTGAACTGACTTTAACATGGGAAATACACCGACCGCACAGCCTGATTCTCTGGAACTGTTTTGGGCATGAAAATGTGCTTGCGGTCGGTCAAAGGGGACTTATATCTATCTCCCGAACGGCTGAACAGATTCGAATGATTTTTGGGTATGTTTGTATTTGAAATATGCTGATTAATAATATGTGACTTTTATTAATATTGGATGTATAGTTTTAGAGTTATGAAAGTTGGGTAAAAAGTATGTTTTAAACTGTACAGCTAATTGTGTTACCTCTCAGGCTAAGGGGAGGAGATAGTTGGGATGTAACCAGTGTGCGATTGGGTAATGCATAATTGTCTGTGAGCGTCTCCCTTGCAAGGGAGAATTGCATAAAAGCAGAGTGTGTGTCATTAAAAACCTCAGTTCTACTCCACCCTCAATTTGGAGTGCCGTCTCTTATTGGGGGAATCTGCTACAGGGGATTGCTATGCTAGTCACACTCCCTTGCTAAATCACTACTAAGCTCTTGTAAGAGCTTGTTCCTGCCTTGCTCTCTGGAGGAATCTATGGTGGTTATGGAGTCGGCTGGAGTGCTTGGATCCCTCAGGAAGCGCTAGGAGCATCCTTCAACGGAGGTACCCAGTCGGGGTGCCAGGTGATCCGTTACATCCATGATCAACATCAATGCGAGTATGTGGCTTAAATGGTATAACAGAGCTCAGTTCTCCACCCTCTTTCAAGGGTCCCTCTCTTTCAGTGCTGGATACCTGGAGTGATTATAGCTGCCTCACCCAAACACTAATTGAGATTTAGTGAAGGGTGCATAAGAACAAGTCACACAACAGGGGATCCATGGTTTAAACTATGAAAATCCCACCCTGGCACCTCAGACTCTGAGAGATAAATAGATCAGTAACCACTACGTTAATTACACCCCAGACACCAGGGCACAATTACAATATATCCCAAAAACAAACATAACCTTCATGTCTTATATTCCCCGATAGCACTCCCCCACTTCCTTAACCCCTTAAGGACCAAACTTCTGGAATAAAAGGAATCATAACATGTCACACGTCATGTGTCCTTAAGGGGTTAAAAAGAGCTCGTCGCACTCACAGTGTTGAATCACCACCTGGTTAAAGTTTCTGCCGGCCTTAGCTGATTTCCGATCGAAAGTTACACGCGGCCAGAGTGACCTCTAGGCTGCTTGTAGCTTTCCTTGTGTGGCACGGTCACCGGATAGATTTGGAATGCGGACGCTCTTCAGAGCTGGGCCTTGTGAAAGGTAGGGGAAACCTCAGGGAGAGTAAGTACAGCTCTTAAGTGGGAACATTTTTATCAGTGGCAGAACTGTGGTTCTGTCAGAAATGCTTACTGCAATCATCATATCCACCATAGCCAGATGTACTAGTTATGTTGCTGGGAGTACGTTGCGCACCTCCATGGTAAAGAGGCATCTAACTTTCCAATGGTTTGCCTCTTACCTGGGTCCGCTAGATGCCAAGCCTCCTCTAATGCGGTTCTGTGCAAGAGATCTGCATTGACATTAGCCAGCCTGAAACTCTCATTTATGTCTTGCTAACCAAAGCTGCCTGTGGTGGAGTTATTCCTCCGACAGGAACAATAACTCTGTGCAAAGTTTTACTCCAAGTGTGCTCTAATGGTTATGTTGCCAAGAGTACCTTGGTGCCTTAATGGTTTGACTTTGTATCGGGGGTCCACTCTCCTCCTCTTCATCTACAGTTCAGTGACAGCTGGAAGCTCCTGCTCAGGAGATTTCTGTTAGCTGACTTCAGCATTGGCGACTGCTCTCACACACTTAAGCCATGAACCACCATGGTTCTTTACAGAAGAAAGCGTCCATCTCTCACTGAGCAGTAGAGGAGGCCAGGAGCAGCGCCAAGTGGACTCCAAGTAAAAAGTCATGAAGGGGGCACCAGAACACTGCAGATGCCATCAGCACTACAACATGCTGTATGGGTTATGATGCATGGAGTGTGCCTTTCAAATAACAAATTATATTTAAATACCATTCCGCCTTTTCTTTTTCTTCTTCATCCAAGTATGAAAATTCTCTCCAAGAATCAAAGTTATACCTAGAATGAACAAAGGTTACAGTTTAGTATGATAAAATACTCCAAGTTTTTTAGGGAACAGATACATACTTGGGCAATAATAAATAGTTTTTTAAAAAAGCACACAGAGGATTTCTTTCAATGGTGGATCACCCTTTTACACAAATATACATTTATACCCACCACCCAGCAGAAAAGCAACTCACCAGAAAGAATAAAATGAATCTACGTCTTCAATAGAGGTTTTCATATCTCCAAGTTTTGGGACATTTTTTGTGTTCGACCACCTGAAATATACAACCAAAGGGTAATCAAGTTTAAATATAAGTCCAGGAATATATAGAATGCCCTGTATTGATGTGCATTTAGGGAATAAATGTGTTCATAAAGTGCTGTACTCTTTCCGTGACATTTAGGTTTTTTTTTTTTTTCTTTAAATCTGTTTTGTATCTTGTATTTTACCTGCTATTTCTGTCAAACACAGGATTAAACACTTCGAAGAAGTTGTCTCTGCCTTCATTCTTGGATGGGATTGAATTATCAAAGGTTGGGTCAATGCTGTTGAATGCTCTTCTCTTCAATGGGTCGGATAAAATTTCATATGCTACATGTTGGTAAACACAGACACAAAAGAGTTATCACTTTTCTACAAAGTATTGTTTGTAGCTCATTTAGTAATGATACATTTTTGCCCTGGCAAATTCTGCTTTTAAAGAACAACATTGTATGACGTGGAACAAAAAAGTAGAAATAAAATAAAATAAAAACATACCTTAGAAAATTTAGATTCAATTAAAGTGAAAAAACTATACTACACAGAAGGAAATAAAGGCGCATTTAAATATTTCTTAATGCTGAGCTTTTCTACTTCTCCTGTTTATCTAAAGAATAAATCTGTGGGTGTATTAACCTGAACACATCACATCCTTTAACCTCACCTTTAGTGATGCACGTGAAGTAGTCATTGTCACCCTCAACGATCTGCTCCCCAGCTGCCTTTCTCTTATCAGGATGGTGTTTCAGAACCATTGCTTTATCTAAGAGAAAAACATTTAATTTTATTTATTCAGTTCAACGTTCCTTTTTTTTTTTTAGAATTGTATGAAATAACAAGTATCACAAACAGCGTTTGAAATAATTCTGAGGAATCATTTGTTAAAATGACATTCAACAAGTGGAAGATTAATGGCTTTAATCTTTCCAAGGCTAAAATTTATATAGGATCTTCTCTAAATAGTATTCAAGAAAAATAAACCACAGCAACCCTGCATTGTCATAAATAAGCATTGTATGCTCAATTATCAGATCCGTACATTAGGGACAATAACACAGAAGTTAGATGATCATATCTTATCTCTGGTTAGCTATAATGTAATATTACTTACGGGCTGCTTTAATCTGCTTCTGTGTGGCTTTGTACCTCAAATTCTTCAACCCAAGCACAGCATAATGATCTTGGTTCTACAGAGGAAAAAAAAAACAACACACACAAAGCTTCATGAATTCAGAGGTAGACTACCAGCACAATTAAGTATTTTATCTGTTTTTTATTTATGTATCTTGTAATACCTTTTTAATTGGACTAACAGAATTTTTAATGACAAGCTTTCAGGAGAACCTCCCTTTCTCAAGTATGAAGCATTTCTGAGCAACACGACACATAGAATTAAAAGTTGAGATACAGGGGTGAAAGCGATATGGTGCAGATAAGACAGGTTTGATAGAACATAGACACAGAGTGAGGGGGGAGAAAGAGGAAAAACAAGATATAAGAGAGAAAATATATATGTGTATTACACTCCAGACGCCTAAATTCCTATCTTGCTGAAGCTTGGTATAAAGAGTGTGTCCTCTTTTTTTCATTTTACAAAAAGTGCATATTTCAACAGATTAGCCTGGTTACACAACAGGTCCTGTTACTGCCCGATTTCGTTAACTCGTAGAGGTAAACTCTACAGGCATCATTAACCCAGAGCATTTGCCTTGCAAACACTTCTCTAGTTGAGCTGCATTGGGAAGTCTGTGATTGGACAGCCACAGAAAGTCTGGACTAGGGAAGAAGGGGAGGGCTTGCAAAGGTAGCAGACCAGAGATCCTGCAGGTTTTGCAAGCTGTTTTTAGATATACACCCAATGAAAAAAAAAACACATTATTTAATGCATGCAAGTTTTCATTTGAGGTATATCTACTAAAAAAAAAAGTGATTTTCATGGGGGCGGACCCTGACCATCATGGAGGCAAGACAAACCTTGGCGACTCGAAGAAAACTTGTCGGCCCCTCCATGGCAAAAGCGGCCTGGTGTGCTTCGGGCAGGGGATGCGGCCGTCCCCTTGTATCGGGGATTCCACCAGAGAAGGCCCTGGCTACGAGCATTTCCTACGGTGGCCTACTCAAGATGTCGGCGACCACACAGCTCCCAGCTGCTGACACCAACCCTGTAGATATACTCACCCGCCAGGATAAGCTGTTCCTAGACTTCTGGCAGTGGCTCGAACTAAGGATATCTCAACCCGCTCCTCCAGAGCCATTGGCTCCCTCACATCAGGGCCCCCAACACAAGCGTGCAGCTCCACACGTGGGAAGAGGTCCCACAAGGTAGCAGAACAGGCAGCATGCATTGTCCAAGCGCTGGACGACATGAAGGCCTAGCACCTCAAAGTCTCCACAGGGGGCTGCAACGCCTGCAGGTCACTCAATAGCGATGGAGCCGCTGCAATGCCTACAGGCACCTGCTCGGCCTGCCCTGAAGCATCTCACCATAAAACAGGATTTCACCCTACCACTTGAGAGCATCGGCTGAGCCGGGCTGTGTGATAGGATTATTGGGACTCGTGGTTAATATGTATGTGTCCACCACTACCTCCTAGGGGGATAATCTACAATTATGTTGATTCTACCTTTTACTGTTTTTCACAATTATATTTTTTCACCCCAGTGTCAGTCTATAAAGCATGTTTCCATTTTTACTTTTGCATACTCATTTACTGAAACATCCTGACTTAACCTGTTTAGCTTCTCTTAAAAATACAAAAAATTAAATTTAAAAAAAAGTGGAGACTGCTCACATGCCATAGTACACTGTATTTTGAAATGTGTGTTTGCTGTTGTGGCATTGAAAGTCTGATTGTTAACCTTGTGCACAACAAAATAAAGATTTTTTTTTTTTAATTTAATTATAATTATTCTGTATTTGGGCAATGGAGTGTCCCTTTAAGTATTACTCCAGCATGGTGAATTTAAAATTAAACCATCTAATTAAAGCTGATTTTCAGCACTTCACCCTTTAAGTTGACAAAACAAGCTTCCCAAGATCCTCTTACAGAGCTTTCAATGCATAATAAACTCACATATCCAGAAAAAACTACCACCTCGTATAGCAATGGGTACCCCCTGTAACCAGGTTGGATTGGGAGTCTCAGACATTCTAAGCTGCTACACAGCATCCATACTAGCCCACACAATGGTAATGCTACACTTTGGCACAAACTGGAACAAGCACACTTGGCTCCTTATACAGAAGCTTAACTGCTATGGACTCCATCGCACCTCAGTTCCTCACCTGTATTCGTCTTAGCAACCTTACGGCCGGCACTGCAAACATGGAGACAAAGTGTTTAAACTACTGGAGCCATGCTCGTACGTGTACTTCACTCCACTTACAACACTGCTCCTACACACGCTGGACCTCCACCTAAAACAATGACTCCACTCTGGCATCACCATAGTGTGAAGCTTTTTATAATCTAAAATATTACCTTAACCAAAAATATGGGCACAATTCACTCTTCCAAATGGGAAAATAGTTACCTACCTCCACATGAAACACATATTTCTATGTCATAAACTCCACTTTCCTGTTTGGGAACTAACAAATGCACCAAAAAAAAACCACAAAAAAAAAAACCAAAAAGAACACTATCCACATGCTATCAGGCACATCTTAACTCAAACATCGGAGAGAAGCACTCCATCTGTCAACGGGAGGAAAAGCTCCCAGTCGAAGATTGGACCAAAGCGTTAATAGCTATGATGGGGGTATCAGAATGCTTATCCCACTGGGAAACAAGCAGGAAGGTTTGGTTTAGGTGGTACTTTACCCCTAAGCATTCAAAGCACATCTATCTCACAGATTCCAACAAATGCTGGCGTTTCAACATAGATGTTTGGGAGCCACATTTTTTAGAGCTTTTGTCAGGCATCCAGACCATCCTACAGAAACTCTTGGAGGTACAACCATATTTCCAATCTCAAGCATTTATCCTAGACATGCTACACATATCCTTACTCGCAGTACACCAAACCTTAGCACTACATGTCCCCAACGGAGACAAAAATAGAATTGCAAAACATTGGAAAACCATGACTGTCCCCTCAACATTGCTAGTGTCACAAGCACTCCAATCCAAGAAGATGTATTTATTATGCATTAACGAAATTCAGTTTAGTTCAGTTGGGATAGCTGCTTCAACAATCAGACAGACAGTCTGGTCTACCTGGGGTACATCCTCTAATGTTTTGCCTCCCCCATCGAATTCACATTCAAAATATGCTGCATGATATTGTGACAGAGTAAATGTATGTACGATTGTTAGAATACTGTTCTATCCTGAAATGCTTCATTTATACTGTGATCTCAGCACCCCTGTCTTGTGGCATTAGTGTTATTACTTTTGCTGTTAATTCTCAATAAAGATAAAAAACATTTAAAACCATTTTAAAGAATACATCTACACCTCTCAATAGTGCAACTGGGTGCCTTCATCTTCAGCTCCCAGTAAATGAAAATTTTCCTCTGCATGCATACTAAGTGCAGTTTTCTGTTACGATAATGAGAATATATATACCTTCCAATCCTTGGGATCAAGTGTTTTTAATAGTGGAAATTCTTCTAGCTGGTACTCTTCATCCTCAGACTCCTCTGATGATTCCTTCTCATCCTCTAGCTCCTGGAATGAGGCAGAAACGCTCCTATTTCTGCGTTTGATAAAGGCTTCGAACCATCGTCCTACTGGTTCTACCTGACACAGCACTGAAGCTGTCACAAAAAAAAAAGTTGTAAAAGTCAGATCCAAGCAATCATGTTAATAAATACCAGCTTATCTGAGGAGGAGTTGTGATTGGGGGCTGTTTTTACAAATGAAGTTTCTATCCTAGTGTGTGATAAACTACAATCATCCTCAGCCAGCATTATCTACCTCGGTTATAAATCATAAAAAGGCACATTCATTTATCTTAAATCATGCCAGTAATCTACATCATGGAGCTCTGTAGCAAACATTAAAATAAATATACTAAACTCCAAGTGGAACTCTTAGTGCTGTGTTCATGTTTACTTCATTCAGAGATATGTCCTCACGCAGGATGTTCAGCAACAGTTAAGCCACCTAAAGTACATTCGGATCCAGGAAGTGCCGCTAGTGGCTGTCTTAGTTCTGCAAGGTAATCATTGCAGTTTCTCTAAAATTTTTATGATTTACGTCGCAGGACTAAGTGGGATAGGGACACTGCACCCAGACCCCTTCAGTGACATTAAGTAGTCTGGGTGCCTATAGTGTCCCTTTAATTTTGTCCAATTTTGTATGGAATTCACTGGCTGAATATCAGTTGACTTACAGTGTCCATTAAATTTAAAATCTCCCCAAAACTTGGATACTGCATATTTGTGCCACTCTAAAGTCTGTGTACTACGCCAACACAATGAGTTATACACACACGCTGCAAACGTAACACCATTTCATATTCACTTTTTTCCACAATAACCCAGAACAGTTCACTAAATTTGAGGAAAGGAAACAAAGAAAATACTAAAAGTAATAAACAGGAGGGAACTAAAACGACTCACATGATGACTGGAAACTAAACTCCTAAGTGTTTGTGGTAGAACATATAATTTACACCCTAGCAGAGTAAAGGCTTGCTAGAGCAGACGGGGCTCCAGCCATGCACACGGGGCTCCAGCCATGCACACGGGGCTCCAGCCATGCACACGGGGCTCCAGCCATGCACACGGGGCTCCAGCCATGCACACGGGGCTCCAGCCATGCACACGGGGCATGTCCTCCATGCTGTACCATAGGCCTTTCCTATAAAGCAGCTGGGAGATTGGTGCTCATTGTGGGCTGTGTGACTGGAGGGCACGGTGTGTACCTGCACTCAGGGTCCCGGTGACCGCGGTGATGTCCTCAGGCTTGGCCTCTAGAAGCATGGTGCCGGCTATTGGGAGCACCACGGTGCACAGCAGGAACCTTCTTCACCCGGCACTGACGGACAAAGCCGCATGGAAGCAAGGCAGGCACTTCCGGGTCACCAGCGTGTCACAGCCAAACTCTCCCGGGCAGCAGCACAGTCCGTGTCTGAGCGAGCCGCCACAGTCAGGGCAGCAGTGACCGTGATAAACATGTACTGACTGCTGCTACAGCGGAATAAGGCTTCTACAGGGATTTATTCACTAAATGGCGAACTGTATTGGTTTATACAACGATTAACGTCATTTAGGTTTCATGTTATAGCTGGAGGTGGAGATTTATTTATTTTTCAAAATCAGATCTTTTGGCATATATTTTTCCATTCGGATTTTAATTCATTACAATTCAGAAATTAGTGAATGAAAAACACAGTCAGGAAAGAAACAAAACTTAAAGGAATGATAGAATGGAATGCCCATATACCTGAACAGGGCAGTGGAATGCCCATAGCCAATAATGGAACAAAATGGAATGCCTCTTGGGAATAATGGAAACAATATTTGAATTAGAGGCAAAACTAGGTTTGCCATACGTCCGGACTCCCCTAGACGTTACCTCTTTTTCAGGGCAATGTTCATACCTGGGGGGGGATTTCAGACTTTGTCAGGCTTTTTACGCTGGTGCCAGCGTCTGTAAGCAACATTGGTGCAGATGTCACTACGCGTTGTCAATGTCAGTATGCAGCGCAGAGTCGCCAACCTGACTCAAGCCACTACATCCTCCTCGCTGTCGCTGAGGAGATGTAGAGCTTTTTTTCCATCGTAGCAACTACATCAGGCCACCATGTTCCTGTTGCCTTCACGTCTTCACTTATCTCCAGTTCTCCACTGACATGATGCAACAGGGGGATAAAAAGAATGAGGAGGGGGGTCTGGCAGGGGTATTTAAGAAAAGTGCAGGTTTTAGGGAGTGGCGGGAATCTATGCAGAGAGGAGGCTAGCAAATGTAGGGCCAGCTCAAGTACGGCAAATGCAATAACGCTAAATTAATTAATTTAGTTGCCATTAGCTGTAAAAATAATAATTCCAAAAACATGACGAAATGAAAGAGTAATTTATTTTTCTTTTATTTAAATACTTTTTTAAATTGATTTTTTTGGGGAAAAATTCCCTAAGGCGTATACACCCTGTTCCAAATTATTATGCAAATTCTATTTAAGTGTCACAAAGATTAAATATTTTGTTTTTCAGTTTAACTCATGGATGGCGTTGTGTCTCAGGGCTCTTTTGATCACTGAAAACAATCTCGGACACCTGTGATAATTAGATTGCCAGGTGAGCAATTTAAGGAAAAACTACTAAAGGAGGGTGTTCCACATTATTAAGCAGAACACCATTTTCATGCAATATGGGGAAGAAACAGGATCTCTCTGCTGCCGAAAAGAGTGAAATAGTTCAATGCTTTGGACGAGTTATGAAAACATTAGATATTTCACGAAAACGTAAGCGTGATCATTGCACTATTAAAAGAGATTTGTGGCTGATTCAGACCACTGACGGGTTCGTGCAGATAAAGGCACATTGAGGAAGATTTCTGCCAGATCCATGCATCGGATCAAGAGAGCAGCTGCTAAAATACCATTACATAGCAGCAAACAGATATTTGAAGCTGCTGGTGCCTCTGGAGTCCCACGGACATCAAGGTGTAGAGTCCTCCAGACTCTTGCAACTGTGCATAAACCTTCTATTCGGCCACCACTAACCAATGCTCACAAGCAGAAACGGCTGCATTGGACAGAAAAATACATGAAGACTAATTTTACAACAGTCATGTTCACTGATGAGTGCCGTGCAACCCTGGATGGTCCAGATGGATGGAGTAGTGGATGTTTGGTGGACGGCCACCCTGTTCCAACAAAGCTGCGATGTCAGCAAGGCGGTGGTGGAGTCATGTTTTGGGCCAGAATCATGGGAAGAGAGCTGGTCGGCCCCTTTAGGGTCACCGTAGGTGTAAAGATGACCTCTGCAAAGTATGTGGAGTTTCTGACTGACCACTTTCTTCCCTGGTACAGAACTATGCTTTCCGTAATAAAATCATCTTCATGCATGACAATGCACCATCTCATGCTGCAAAGAATACCTCTACATCAATGGCTGCTATGGGGATAAAAAGAGAGAAAGTCATGGTGTGGCCTCTATCCTCCCCTGACCTCATTCCTACTGAGAACCTTTGGAGCATCCTCAAGCAAAAGATCTATGAGGGTGGGAGGCACTTTACATCCAAACAGCAGCTCTGGGAAGCTATTCTGACATCTTGCAAACAAATTCAAGCAGAAACTGTCCAAAAACTCACAAGTTCAATGGATGCAAGACTTGTGAAGCTGCTATAAAATGTTTAAAAAGTTAAAATGTTGTTATAAGTTTGATTGAAATAGCTTTTGATTTCAGTAAATATGCTGCAAACACAACAAATTACAATTTTCAGTTCTTTACAACCTATAAAGTGTTTGGAAACTTACTTTGCGTAATAATTTGGAACAGTGCATTGTAAGTTTATGTTTAAAAAAAAAAATACTGTTATCATTAGGAGGTTTGTTCAATAAAATTTGTACTCTTAATAGTTGATAACATGAGAATTATGCTGACTGTTATTTACATCAATTATTTAGGTAAATGAGAAAAATATAATTTGCATAATAATTTGGAACAGGGTGTATATACAGTTTGGACAACATAAAACCAAAACATACATTACATTAGAGATAAAACCACACAGAAAAAACATATAATATTTGTAACGGCACCCCCAGGCACAAAAGGGTAAAACCGCCATTTAGAAGATCTTCCCCTTCCAGAGACACAGGCACAGCTACTGCAGAACACCAATCCACCGAACATGAAACCATGTGAATGCTGTAAACAGCCGAATAGAAAAAACCATACGAATAGGTTTACACTCCTAGCAGTCGAACTGGAACAGCATACAATAAATCCCCCCAAGAACGAGACAAAGCTCCATGTTTTTTTTTTTCAATTCTTTATTTTTGCAGTGCATATAGATAACACAGCGTGCATGTGGTACCCCAACGGCAATCCACATGCTTTTCAACAATATTTGTAACAGTAGGGTACATGTTAAATCTTGCACTATTTTATATTAATCTAAGATTTAGCAAGATCAGTCCTGTTTCAATTTTATAATATATATTTGCAAGAACACTGGTGAGACATGAGAGTAACATTGGTAGGGTAATTGTTAAGCATAGCATATGGCATATCCTCTTACTGCTATGAGGTGGATGCTCAGTGTACTTAGTCATGGTATAGTAAGGGGTACAGTGAGCAGGAGCTGACTGGTTCGATCTGTCTAGGCTGGGACGCATGTGCAAAGCTCCATGTTGAACCATTAAAGAACGTCACTATTTTGTTGGATAAATACATTTTTTAAAATATTATTCCATATTGATAAAATGTGATTATGTATCATACAGTTATATTTATCAGACATTGTAGTCTTCAAATATTCTAAAGTCCATACTAATATAGATAAGTCTTTAAGTCTATTTGTTTTCCTCTATTTTAAACCAATCTTCATTGTTAAATATTGGATTATGCATCTTTTGAATATGATATATGATACTTGCATAATAATATTGTTGGACAATAGGAAAACCCAATCCCCTCACCTTAGTGTTTTTTGGCATTATATCAATATTAATACGTGGAATTTTCCCTTTCCACACAAAGTTTCTGAAGCTTCGTTGGATGAGGTCTAACCAGGGAGTTGGAAATTTTAGTGGCAATATTCTGAATAAATAAACCCATTTGGGTAAGATGTATGCCTGTTGATTCTGCCATACCATGATATCTCTTTGGTAATCCATTCTTTTAATAGTATAGTCATAGCTCTTAAGTTATCAAGGAAGTTACATTCGACTATTATTTGATATCTAATGGAATGATTACTCCCAGATAGGTTAAGCTTTTCTTTGAGAAGTCAAAACCATATTTACCACAATTTCTCTCTCGTTCAGGTTTAGTTATGTTGTAAAATAAAGCTACAGTTTTGGTCATATTTAATTTGTAGCCAGAAATATGACTAAATCTATCTAATTTATCTAATAAATATTTCAGTGATTTGTTTGGACCAGTCAAAAAGACAAAAACATCGTCTGCATGTATGAGCAGAATTTTGACTGTTGGTGCTTTAATGGATACCCCTTTATGTCTTTGTTTTCTCAGATTGTTTTGGCAAGTGGTTCAATTGAAAAGATGTACAAAATTGTGGAAAGAGGACAGCCTTGTCTAGTTCCATTTTTTAGATGAAACCAATTTGAACATAGATTCAACCCCACAACCTTTGCTGTTGGTACCATATATAGCAATATTATAGCACTAAGCATCCAGTCATCCACACCATATGATTGTAATGTAGCGAACATGTACTCCCAACCAACCCTGTTGAACGCTTTCTCTGCGTCTAACGACAGGGTATGGAGGGCGGTATATGTCCACTCAGCCAAATCTAAAATATCAATTATTTTTCTAATGCTATTACAAGATGACCTGCCTGGCACATATACAATCTGGTCCTGATGGATAGAAACCAACAAAATAGTTTTCAAACGTTCTGCTAATATAAAAGAAAATAACTTAGTATCAATATTTATCAGTGTGATAGGATGGTAACTGGTTAGATCTGCTGCATTTTTCCCTGTTTTAATATAAATACGATATTTGCTTTCAACATTTCTTGGGGGAAATTGCCTTTATCTCATTAAAAGTTGTCACTAAATGGTGTGCTATTTCTTTTTTTTATAAAATAAACTGCTGAAACCATCAGGACCTGGTGTTTTATTTTGTGCTAATTTTCCAATTGCTTTTTCAGCTTCTATTATGTCTATTGGTTGGTTTAGTCTATTCCTTTTTTCATTTGGCATTAGGGGTGGTTTTATATTTCTCAAATAATTATTAATCTCTTTATTTGACACTTTCTTAGGATTGACAATATCTTTTGGGGT